GGCAGAAGCCCCCCCCTCGATCTGCTGGCCACACTTCTGATGCAGCCCAGGATACGGTTGGCTTTCTTTTACATTCCCTCCAAGGGACTTTCCATCTGCAGTGGAAGTCAACAAGTATGATTATAGGGTGGAAATTTTAAAGGCAGAAAGAAAAAAAAGAAGCAGGCATCTGCACTGGTAAGAGTTTCTGGTCAGCAAGAAAAGCAGAGGAGGTACTGGGATATAGCAGGACATGATCTCCTTCCCGACCCAAACCACCACAAGCAAGTAGCAGGGCTCAGACAGTCAGCAGCCTCACAAATTCAGCAGTGATACAAAACCCAGGAAAAGGCGTTATGTCACTGAAAGGCTGCTGTGATGCTTGGACTCTCCACTCCGGTTGCAACATCCCAGAATCAATTGCAAAGTTAAACCCTGCCATAAATCTGTGAGATTACCCTGCACTGGATGAACCAGGTCACTAAATCATTAGAGGGGGTCACTTTTTTTTCTTTTCTTTCTAATTAGCGGATAATGTGCTAATCTAAATGATTCAATTAGAGAAAGTCAAAGCAGACAAGGCAATTGTGATTAAACACGGAATTGGAGCAATCGATTGTACTCTATTAGCTAAAAGATTGGAAAGAGGAGTATTAGCAAAATGGAAGTTAATTAGACGGCTGGGAATTTTCCTGTTGTGCTGCCAGAGAAAAATTGTTGAGAAGTGTAAATGTGTAAAGAGCATGACCCAAACACAGCGTTAGCCATGCCTGATGATGGTGACGAAGTACAGCACCACTGAGCGTGCAATTTATTATCTAAAGGTGCATACAAAACTGGATTCTTGCAATCTCGGTTCCTTTAGCTGTTAAACCAGAACTGGGAAGAAGGGAAGAGGGGAGTGAAATTTTCTCTTCATGCGGTCTAGATATGTTTCCTTTCAGCATTTCCGCTTCGGGAGAAGTGCGTTCAGGCACACAACCAGTAGCACCGTAACGCTAGCCAAAAGAAAAAAAAGATTAAAACCGAATCAGGGGACATGAGCAAGGGGAGGATCCAGCCCCAGGCTGGACAGGAGTACCACAAGGGAGAAGCAAATGCCAGCTGGTGCTAATTTTTGTGGGAGGTGGGTGTTTAACTCCCTTCTTACTCCTCCCTTTCTCCCTTCTTCCCTTCTGGTCAGTAAATGTGCGTGTAGCAACAAAGGCTTTGTCTTTGTCAAGCATGAGTCAAAGGACCACCCTTAAAAACGGGCTCACCCACCTCTGCACTCGTGCAAGCCTGTTCTCCAAGGAGCTGGGGACAGGCATCCCTCTCCTGATCTCCAGAGCTCCCTGGAGGTGGAGAAACGGAGCGCAATGTGGTACCTTAGCACCCTCCCATGCATCCTCTCTAATACAGCCAAACACAGACTAGAGAGAGGGATCTGGACTTGGCTTCCCACAGACAGCCCAAGAAACAGCTGTTCCCAGAAGGGCTCCCTGCCCAGTGTATGTATTATAGGGCCTCTCTTGCACCTAAGCCACCTCCTTCTTCCATAGGATGCCCCATAAGGGCCATATGGTGCCTATCAGGGTGGGTCACAGGGCAAAAGCTGCCTAAGTCTGGGCTGAACCTGCAGTGTCCGTTGGCCCACGGGGCTCTGAGGAGCAGGCAAAGGGAGATTTAGCACCACGCAGATGGGCTTGTGTCTTAAAAAGGATTTGAGACAAGACTTAGAGAGCAAGTAGGTGAAAGCAGAGAGAGAACACTCAAGTCTGTTGCTTAACCGGGCTGGAGGAAGAGTTTTCTGTGATTCCATGATGGAATCTTCTATGATTCTGTGATTCTATTTGAGAGGAGAGCGAGCTAGTTTTACAGCCAAGGTTTTCATTGCACTTTGGCAGCTTCTGGCAAAAAGGCGGATGATGTTCAAACTGCATTAGTTGGTGCTGCGGTTGATGAATTGTCTATGACCTGCTTGAAAATTCTGCCTGCTTTTTAAAGCACAAAGGGTTGGACCAAGATTAGTACATCAGTCTGTTAGTACTGCGGACTTGACTGTTCTCCCTGACACTGGGATAACTCTTGTAGTCAGCAGAGGCAGACCAGTATAAAATGGGCACAGGTGAAATCATAATTGAATGATGGAGCAAAGCATTAACTGTGCACTTTCACAGCGGTCTTTTGTTTTCAATTACGAGATGTTTAACTAGAATCATTAAGACTTTTCGTTGTTTAACCTGTGTATTGACACGTATCAAGTGCATTGGCCGATACCTTGTTCCATACAAACTTTTTATGCTTTGTGTGCTCCAAAGGCAACTTGCCAGTCACATTTAGCTTCTCGGTTTTCATTTATATCCATTGAGTCTGTGCCACTGAAAATGGATTGGCACCATTGCTTGGGTACAGACCTAAGCATTTAAAATATTGGTGGTGTAGGGGCGATTTCTTCCTGAAGTGGTTGCCAAGTACCACAGTTTGTGCAATAAGAAAGGAGCAGCCATCAACCCCATGGAATGGCAGTTGGAATTCATATGCATCTTGTCCTGACACAGGGAGTCCTTGCACTCGCTTTGTAGCGGTTCTCCTCTGTTGGCTTCACCGCGGCCACGTTGTGGAGGGACACATGTGAGAGAGGTGGGTTCCCCTGAGCTTGCACAAGTTTACAAAGGGTTACCCAGCAAGCCATGGCTGCCTGAAGACAGGTTGCCAGACCTTGTTGTATAGTTTTTAATATCCTCTTTATTAACTCTTCAGATTATGCTCTTTTTTGAATGTATACAATTCAACTTCTATTTCTGGCTCTGCAAATTAGGCAGACTTTCTGTTCTTCAGTCAGTCAGCATCACAGGCCATTCTGAAAGTCACCCAGGTAAAGATAAGAAACCTTTCCACTGACTGATGTTGCTGATGGTTGGTTTGCCTATCTTCCCTTTTATTTCTGGTTATGCAAGTTATGCAGACTTTCAGTCAGTCGGCATCACGGGCCATTCTGAAAGTCACCCAAGTAAAGATAAGAAACCTTTCCACTGACTGATGTTGCTGATGGTTGGTTTGCCTATCTTCCCTTTTCCTCTGGTGTTGTAGGCCTCCGAAGTCTCTCGAAACAGAGGAGTTACTCTGTTGGCCAGACCAGGCAATAGTCTCGTAACAGCTATTCGAAACCAGCACCATCATGAGACATTACCTCTGGGTAAGCCAAATTTCTCTTTTCTTTTCAAAGCAGGGCTCACAAAGATGGTTTTTTAGAACTTCTCATCAATCACATGCTCTGCTTCATGTTGCCCTGTGGCTCACTCGCTAGTGCAGTCAGTGTGCCCCTGCACAGTCATGGTGATGTGACCAGGCCCCCTCAGTGGTAAATACAGCCTCTGGTTTGGGGTTTTTTCCTTTTCCCTTTCCAGCTTACAATGACAAGATTGTTGCATTTCTACGCCAACCCAACATTTTTGAGATGCTGCAGGAGCGTCAGCCCAGCTTGGCCAGAAACCATGCACTCAGGTACCGCTTTTTTCCAGACTGCTGAAACCAAATTCCAGGAAGGACTTCTTGTAGTGGGGAAAACTAAATTCTAGTAGCTGTTGTACAAAAGATTAACTTGGGCCCCATATGGAACTTTCACCTTGAAAGAGTAGGTGTGGACCACTAGAACCTGTGTAGTTACTGCAGTTATTTTCCACAGACACCCAAGAAGTAAGAACCACCAAAATAACTATGGACAAATAGTGACATATCTAGTTCCCACTCCAAGTATTACTGAGTAACAGAAACTCTGTCTTCACCTACAATTGCTACTTTGCTTTTCTTCACCTGCAGTTACCACTTTGCTTTTCAGAAGATAAGGTTAAAAGAGTGTTTTGATGGAAGTCAGTAGTAAAACCCCAGTAACTTCAGCGTAACCTGGATTTTATCTCATGGTTGGATTTACACCCATGCCATGGACATAGTCACCCTAGATTTTATACAGAAATATGAACGTTATGGAGTAGCTGGTACTCCTGTCTTTAATCTTTCTCACCTATGACTTAATGGTAGTCCTTTCCAAAGTAATTAAATTATATCTTTCTTTTTCTTATGCCCATTCCTTTCCTATTAGGTTTAAAAAAAACCCCAACCCCAGAACCAAAAACCAGTACAATTTAAACTCATTCTAATTCCAAAGGTTAATTTAATTGTTTTGGCCAGGAACCTTATCTGGGATTAGTCAGTCTCAGCAATGCCAGTGTGCAACAGCTAACAGTGTGACCAAGGATTTGGTTTGTACCGCGCAGTGAAAAGTGTGTGTGGCTGAGGAACTGGTAAAGGAGGGAAGGAAGGGCAAGGGAAAGGCCTTCAAGTTCCTGCAGTGCAGTTTCTGCTGATAGCCTTCCCGACTCATCACTTACCTGGGAGGCCCAGAGTTCCTTAAGTGTAAGGATTAGATTTCCTTCCTGGAGGAATTAATTCAAATAAAATGAGGGAGACAGAATGAAAAATGCTCCCAGTATTAAGATGTACATTTCTGTAGCTCAGAATTTTTATCTTCACCATCAAATTATTCCAGTCTTTTTTTTTTTCTCAGCTGTAATTTGAATTCTCATTTCTCAGAGAACAGATGATGCTTTTATCTCCTTTGAGCTAAGAACAGAATGGACTAGTGATAGGGACTATCACTGGCTTAGCCAGTGCGTAATGGGATTTGTAACAGGATATTGAGCCCTTTGCCTCCGGATCATTGCTTTGATTACAGCTTAGGTCAGGAGTGATCCCAAGCTCCCACTTCATGCTCGTACAGCAGGTCCTAAGCAAACTCCTAGAGGCAAATGTCCATCTTATACAGGGCTTGATTCTGCAATACATGGCAGCCCCACACAGCCAGGTCCTAAAGCACATCCCTGGCTTCAGGTAGAATCCTTTGACTTGATACTAGAACATAAATATTCTTGGGCACCCCTGTGCTTTAGAAACACACCCACAGACTGAGGTGCAGATCTGCATCTTCCACGGTCCGAATCTGCCAACAGGATCTAGCCTATGTTCCGCACTCCTTATTAGCATTCATTTAGACAACAAAATATATGATTTTACATGTGTACTGTGTAACCTCTGTGTGATCCATTAATACCACATGTATGTTAGTGTTATTTCCCAGACAGAACTGATGGAGGTAAAGGAAGTGGTATTATGTGAAATTCTGTTAACAAAAGGTGGTATATTAGTTGTAGCCTTAAAAAAAAAGAAATCTGTCAGTGACCTTAGCTGTAGTGCTACACATGAGCTTGGGGGACTAAGAATCATTCTGTTTTCTAAAATATGGTATAAAATATCTTTCTTTTAGATCAGGAAACTGAGTGATATAAATAGATTCTTTTTTGCAAGTTTGTTAGTGAGATTAGAAAATGAACCTGGCAGTTTGCCATTTTTGTAAGGAGAGAAACAGGAACTGGCCAGATACCAAGCAATAATAGCTCTGTGTGTTGTTCTGCCTTGGTAATGGTGTGTTTTCTTTTTTTTTTACTTTCTTTCTTCTCAGTAATATTATTTACGTTTCAGGGAGAAGATCCATTACATTCGGACAGAGGGTACACATGGGCTTGAAAAGTTGTCCTGTGATGCAGATTTAGTAATTCTGCTGAGGTAATCGATTTGATCAATAGCATTACTCAGGGTACCAGAGAAACTGGATGGCTATTTCTCAGCATAATTGACAAGATTTTGTTAAATCTTCCAGGTCATTTGTAACTAGAATAGGATTCATTGTTACTGATAGTCACCCAAAATAATTCAGCCAGAGTATATCTGGCAGCGCTTACTTCCTGGAAGGCAGCCTGCATCAGTGGAGTAAACTCCATCCCCAGCCAGCTCAGTCAATATAGCTGTTATTATCAAGTACCAGATAAAAAAGAATCACGTCAGAATGTTTCCTTTTAATGGAAAAATATCTTGTCTGCTTTTTTTTTTTTTTTTTTTAAGAAGAGGGGGAGAATCTTGTTTTCCTCAGTACAAGCAAATAATGTAACTGAAATGGCTGGTTTTGTGAAATGGCTAGTTTCTCTCACGCTCAGGGCTGTGTCACCGGAATGAAACCTCGATGTACAGCACAGCGGGCGTTGTTTGGGTGCTGTAGATATGGCTTTGATTTTTACTAGGGCCAGGAAGCTTGGTCTGTAGGTCCTAGCTACTTTTGCTTAGCACAGATAAGGACTTATTGTGTTGTTTTGGTCCTGCATGGGAAATGTTGCAGTAGCCAGGTGGTTTTGGTGTGCTGCATAGCACTGCCTAACGCAAGAAGTTTATGACTTGTTCCCATCAACTTAATGCAAATGGTCAAAGAGCTGAGCTGTATGAAAATGTACGACCCAAGAAAAACAGTCTGGGAGACAGATGTGTGTATCTTTGCTTCTTGCTTCTAACATGTTGAAGTTGTCCCTGCTTACTACACAGCCTCAGATATTTACTCTAGCAGTAGATTGAGGCACTGTGTTACCATGAAATGTCCAATAAAATTCATTTTGTTCTTCTTCATACTGGTGAGCATGCCTGACTTGGGAAAGCTGTGGAGTTTATGAATCCATGAGTCCAGAGCTGTACCCAAACTTATGACCACAGCAGACTTGCATATTTACATTCCTTCGCGTGATGAGTGTGAACTAATCCTTATCACTTTTTCCGGGCAGCCTTTTTGAAGAGGATATTATGTCTTACATACCACTGCAGGCTGCCTTCCATCCCGGTTACAGTTTCTCTCCTCGCTGCTCACCTTGTTCATCACCCCAAAATTCTCCAGGTAAGGGGACGGGGGAAATAGAGAAAACTTGCATGTGTGGTATTTCTCCTGATAAATACAAAGGGGCAGATTCAGAGCCAACACCAGTTTTCAGCCTGCTAATTCCAGCGCCCACTCCGAGTTGGATCCCGGCTGCTGTTTTGCTGGCTCAGTTGCCATTGTTGTAATGTTGAAATGGTAAGAGTAGATGAAGCACAGCGATCGGAAATTGCCCGTGTGGAAGAAGGTTTTATATAGCTGGAAAGGGTTAGATGAAGTGAATGGCGCACTCCAAACATAACTCGCTGACATGGAAGCACATTCCTGTTATGTGACAGGAGCAAAGAGCAGCTTCCAAACCAAAGGTGTGTTACAGTACTTCCAGTACTCCTGTGAAGTTCAGTCTCCTCTGCTCAATGTTCCAAAGATTTCTCTTCTTCCCAAGACTCACCTATTTTAAGACCTGAGAGGGTCATCTTGATCATCTAGTCTGACCTCCCGTGTTGAGCCCATTAACAGGTTGGGCGGGAAATGTATTTTCCAGAAAGACATGCTGACTGAGAAGGTTATTTCCAGCTGTGGTATGCCTCTGTAGTTACTGTTTATGCTATAGAAATTTGAGGAGCTAATATCTCCCTTTTGCCAAGATATACAACCCCTACAGAAGCCTCACGGCATGGCTGTGTCCAGTGGCCATTTTTAGAGTATCGACAGAAACGTGATCTGAGGAAATCCATTTTTGGCTGAGCTTTGTAGACATTCATTTAAATTAACTGGTTTCAAACACAGTTAATGGACAAGAGACACTGAAATCTCAGAGGTGGCTGAGGAAAATTGGAAGGTTTTTTGATGTGAAGAAGTTAAATGCTGACGCCTTTTCCATAGGAAAACAGCGTTTTGTCAGAATAACCTGTTTTCATGAATGAGTTTTAACACCATTGTTAATACTGTTGCTCTCCTCTGCATCAGGACAGGTCATAAACATGTCTTCTGCAAGACAAAAATATAAGTATTTGCTGAGAACGTGACTTAGGAGAATGTTAAAAGAACTGCACTGGTCTTTACCTGTTCTTGTGAAAACACAAGAAGGGCAAATACTCATTACCATCAATATACTGTCTGCTGGCTAATTTCTGGTTACACAGCCCATGAGAACACCCATCCTCTTACCTCCTGGGGGAGAAGAAGTCCAACAGAAGTCAAGGAGTGTGGCAAGGGATTCTCTTTGCGCTGCATGTGAATATGCCTTTCTGTTTAGCCAGCTGAGACAATTAGCAGTGTCCTCCCCTCCTTGCAACCACAATACTTTGTGCTCCCGCTGAATACGTATTTTTTTGTTTTGTATTTTTTGGTGGGGGTTTTTTGCCTTCCTATGGAAAATTTTCTGCCAGATTTTTCATAAATAGGCTGGGGTTTATTGTCTTCTATAATGAGATAGAGAAATGGGATTTCATGGTTCCGTTCTTTGACCCTTAATGGCATGGCGCTTGTTTATACAAAAGCATTAATCATCTACTTTGAGAATGCAGACTTCAAAACAAAGCAGGTCCCAATTTGCTAAAAATCTGCTGTATGTGTGAATCATAATGGGAAAACACAGCATTTCTTGCTGACAAACATCCTTCTTGATGCCACAAAGGGGTTTTGTGTTGATAGCTGGAAGTGTTTAATACACAGTCAGATTAAGGCAGGGAAACCCGATTCCCAGCTTGGCGAGGGTGCTAGGCTCCAGTGAGAAGCATTGCTTTGAGCTCCAGAGGTTTAATCCTGCCAAGTAAGGAGATCTCCTATGCAACGCAGAGGAGAGTGATCTCTTAAAAGTGAAAAAGGGAAAGAAAACCTAAACACCAGTGACCGTGAGTGGGAGTTATGCATGTCAGTTGTTTGCATGCGTTAATGGTCCTTGAATTTCCATTCATCTCAATCATAATTAAAGGCTAAGGCAACAGAAAGGCACACACAAGGCAAACGTAGTAATTCTTGTAGTGAAGATGATACAGCCAATTGGAGTCATTGCAATCACTGAATTATAGGAATTTACAGCCTTATTAATGCCAGGTAGAACAAAAATAATGCTGCATACCTCTAAAAAGTTTCTAACGCGTTTGTTATCCAGTTCTGTCTGGAAACATCCCCTGCACGATTTGGAAAAACTTAAAGGCCCTTACAGTTTAGGATGCTGTTCATTTTCCCGCCAGGCCTGCAGCGAGCAAGTGCGAGAGCACCTTCTCCATACAGGAGGGACTTCGAAGCCAAGCTGCGCAATTTCTATCGAAAACTTGAAGCCAAAGGGTATGGGCAAGGTCCAGGTAAAATTAAGTGAGTATTATGACAAGTCGCTCAAATCGTCTAACATGGTGTGGCTTTGGGTTTTATCATTATCCATGAACGAAGACACTGACAGGGAGTGGGAAACCCACCAGAGATTGCATTTTGTCCATGAACCATCAGATTTGCAAGATTTTAGTATAATCGAGTAAAAGAGTAACCTTCAAGAGGCTTTTGTTTGGAAGTTTTATTTCATACAATTCACATCCTGTTACACTCCCATTCCCTGTCTGTTTAATAAGGAGGTTGGTATTCCTACCTATAATTTGCTAGTAAGAAAATCATTCAGGCAAAGGTCCACCCGAGATTATTAACAGCTACGTCACTGTAACGATGGAGTGATTCTAAATCCTCTGGATCTACATATCAGTATAATTCCAGAGCAGAGTATGACCCTACAGGATCATGCCTGTATGTGCAGGTTTAACTTTGAGTAGTTCTTTGTGTTGGTAGCCCTCCTGGATTTGAGCTAGGGAGATTTTTGCCTCTCTCCATGTATTTTGGGGATCTCAGTCACTTGGTTGTGGAGTTTGCTTTACAGGCATCTAGTGAGTTGGCTTTTGAGTCTGTACCCACTTGGGCTCGATCTAGTTATCCAGCCTGGCCAAAGGACTGTGTGTTTCTAAGGTATTTCCTGGGCATCTGGTTGAATTTATGCATCAGACGGGCTTCCTACCAAATCACATCTGTTATGGAAAAAAAGAAGTATGAAGCCAAGCAATTTATTCCAGGGAAACATCATCATCAAAATATTCTGACAGAGCTGGGGAGTCCCAGCAGTTGGTTATTCGTTTTGGTGTCCTGCTAAGTGGGTCCAAGGCAGACACGAAATACAGTTTACAAGGTCTGTCTTAAAGTGCCCATGAACGTAGGTACCAGCAGGACTTCTTGCACAGATGCTGTTTAAATGCACCGTTCATTCAGCTGTTTTAGAGGTTGGCCAGGGAGTGAGAGGTGTGTTGAATAAACAGGGGCAGATACTCCCTTTGCTTACCCTGCTACAGAAGCAGTAATTCCATGGATATTCACTGGATTAAACCCAGGAATATTTTGGGGTCAGTCGCAGAAAGCTGTGACCTCACGTACACAGGAAACTCATAGCCCCCTCTGCCATACAACTGTGTACATAGGGGGTGTTACAGAGAGTCTCAAGTAGAGCCACACTTTGAACCTCATCACAGCATTGGGAAGAAATTCACCTTAGAAAAGCCTAATGAAACAACTCACTCAAAACCCACAGTGGTCAAGCAGCATGTGCACCAGTCGATGCAACTTCATTAACTTATCTGAGAATTAATGTCTCTCTTGACCATTTGTTGTTTACCTTCAGCCTCGTGGGCTCATACAAGGCTCAATCATTAGATCTCTGTTTCTGCCTCCCTTTGCAGGTTAATTATACGACGTGACCACTTGCTGGAAGGCACCTTCAACCAGGTAATGGCATATTCCCGCAAGGAGCTCCAGCGGAACAAACTCTACGTCACGTTTGTTGGCGAGGAAGGGTAGGGCACCACTCGATGCTATCAGTTTTGAAGTAGCCGTGGTGTTGCAAAACACCGTCAGGGCTGACTAAGGCTGAGCCTGTGTTGTTATGTAATGTTTCTTTGGTTTTGTTTTACCTCTCAGCGATTCATCTTAATCAGCTCAAACATTCCTTAAAAATAACAAGAGCGATAATGCTTCGTTTTCCGTCGCACCTTCCGTCTCGATGTCTCAAAGTGACAATTTAAGTGCTTAAATCTAATGTCATCTTCCTGCCATGGGTATTTTGACTGGCTGGAAGGCAAAATTGAACCAGAGCCCCATGTTTACACACTGAATCAGTCTCAGGCCTATAATTAGAGACCAGACCTTCATCCCTTTTGTTACACTAACTCTTCAAGATGGCTCTGGGCTTGCTTCAAAACTTTTTGCTTTGCATGCCATCTAATGACCATTTGTTATCCATATGTGGACTTCTTGTTTCTGGCTGAAGTAAGACAAGTGAATGCTCTTCAGTCCTTACAGTTTAATTCACCCCGTTGGAAGTTGAAAGTAATAGAAGTCTCTTGACAAGACCTTTTCTCAGGAGATTTTCTGCCAGCCTTACAAATGTATGAGCCATTCTTGTATGATTAAAGCCAGCCGCTGAGCTTTTGTTTCCAAATCTAAACAAAACCTTTCAAAGCCACCCTGGCTCACCTCAAGAGCTAAATTGTAATTGAGGCTTAATCCACGTGCTTTTACAATAGAAACACCATTGTGTGTTTTCCACTGTTCCATATTAAAAAAGGCTTGAAATCGTATTTCAATAGCTTTGTAGATAAAGTTTTGGGATTTTTTTTTTTTTTAAAAAAATAACCAAACGACACATGGTTAGGATTTCAGTCCCCGAGGTACCAGAACAGTATAAGGCTTTGGGGCAGCTCTCGGCACGGCAAACAACTGCTGACACCATCGGGTGTGAGGTGGCATGTCAAGCAAAGAGCTTCTGCAAAAGTGAGTTCATCTGGGATGTGTTAGGTTCAGTGAACAACAGAAGTCACCAATCTCAGCGAATCACTTGGTGATCTCAGTATCAGGGGTTTTCTTGACTCTTATCTTTTTATACTCCGTGGATTCAGTGTTATTTAACAGAGGTTGTCTTTCACAGCTGGTTTTGCCTCTGGCTTGCAAGTAAAGCATAAACATGCAGCATACCTCAGTTTGTGTTTTTGGAATAGTGTTCTAGTACGCTAACACTGGCCAAAGTCATGTTATTTTCCCCACATCTCTAATAATTTTTACTGCGTGTGGTATAGTATCCTCGGGAGAAATTAGAAGCCAATTTGATTTGCAAATTCGTTCATTCTTCACTGATTCATTTACATCTGAAGATACATTCCCCCAGGGATTCTGCTGTTTAATGCTAATACAGGTCCTGCTGGAGGGACTCCAAGATAACCAATTCCCTACTGAAAAGAAGAGCTGATGCTCTATGGCCATGTGATGCTGTGTGGGCACAGCTTCCCACGTGTCTCAAAGCTAAAATGACATTGAAAATGAATTATGAAGGCTTTATGATGAGTTTATGTGTCGCCCAGAAATGCAATACCTAGTCTCTGGAGATTTTTTAATATAGACAGGTGGTGTTTGTTTTATTCCAGCCATCACCGGGCTTACCCTGGTGTTCTCAGATCCGTTGAACCAGATCTGCTACACCATTAGCACTAGTGGTTCATTGTGGGCTTATTGCCTTCCCCTCTTGCTGTTGTGGCTTTAGTTTCACCCTGTGATCCTAGAGCTAAAACTGCTTGAAGAGAAAAGTCCAGATGTAAAGCGGAGGAGGATGGGCCAGCATGCCCTTCGTCGTCTTTCTAGTAGCACACATCAGTCATTCAGCTTCTTGTGGTTATGCTTCCGTAACTTCAGACATGATACAGCACCTTCTGATCCAGCTGCAGTTTCCCACTTACTTCCCATGTAAGTAGAAGGAATAGTGCCCACCTCAGAAAATGTTTTGGCACATGTGATATATGGCTACAAATGATTTGTTCATGTTGCTACATGTAGATTTATTTTAGATTGAAAAACCTACCTACCATTGTTAGAAAACGATCTGGTTTTAATAAATCCGTCACAGTTGGGTTTAATGCATTCATGAAGCTTTTTTGGTTGGGTTTGGGTTTTTTTCAAGTTGAAATAATTGGAAACAGCTTGATTTAAAAGTTGAGTTTAAGAAAAAAAGTGAGTCTCTACAGAGCAGAGTCATGCAACAGCAAAGCACAGTTTAAGGTGTACCAGATGTATTTGAAACTATCGGAAAAGTAGGAGAGCTCGGATGGAACAACTGAGGAATCACCACTCTGTCTTAAGGAACACAGCTCTGTTGGGACTTGGTCTTCTTCAGCCTTGCCCTTCAGGTTATACCTATAGCTAAGAAAGCTTCCTTGGGGCTAGATCGCACCTTGGGTTACGCCGCAGTGTAGAAGAGCAATTTCTACTTCAGTCTGGGCTGTGAACCCAGGTGTTCACCAACAGTTCAAACCTACTCCCTAAAAAGCTAGCGCTCTGCTAGCCAGCCAGCTCGGGCAGGGCTGAGCTTTGTACCTCCGTCTCACTAAGCCTCTAAAAGAAACTACCTAAGGGATGTGTCCGAGTTATGATTCCTCCCGCATCAGCCTGGATGCTGGTGAAGTTTCAGCATCGTGACTTTTTTTAGAGCTCAGAATCAAGTTTGAGAGGGGAAATGCACCGCATTAGAAACACTTGATTGCGCAGGAGTAGGTGTGAGGCAGCAGCCAGTGGGGGCAAAACCCAGGAAATTTACTCAAACGGGACTAAGCCTCATTTTATCTTTTTTACCTTTTCCTTTCCAGGTTGGACTACAGTGGCCCCTCCCGAGAATTCTTCTTCCTTCTGTCTCAGGAGCTCTTCAATCCCTATTATGGGCTGTTTGAGTATTCAGCCAACGACACTTACACTGTACAGATCAGCCCCATGTCTGCCTTTGTTGAAAACCACCTGGAATGGTAAGGACACTTTGTGCAGAACGGAATAATCCTTTTAGAGCAATACAGAGATGGAAATGCCAAACACAAGAGCTGACGGTTTAGACCGGACTACATACAGATAATCTGCTGGGAAGAAGTGGGAAGTAGGTTGGGAGAAGGAAGAGGGGGAGTAAGTGTAAATACAACAGCAGGCTCTGAAAAAGTTGTGATGAAGTGCTACTGTTAAAATGTCCCACTCGCATTACATGGAACTTCATGTTTGTGTTCTTCTGTGGGAATGTGAAGTGGACAGGGAGAAGAGCTCTGCTTATTCCAGGCCTCTCCTCCGTGGTCCCTTCCTAAGAACCGCTAGTGTGGTGTTTCCATTCATCAAGCAGCTTCGTGCTTGGAAGCTACACAGTGTTCTCCTAGAGCCACGTTGCTGCTCGAAACCTGCTGCAGGCCTTAAAAAAGGCCCAGTTAAGGTGGTTTCCTTTCCCTCCCCTCAGAATCCCTGCCTGTGTGTGGAAAGGCCAGCAGCGCAAGCAGGTATTTCACCTTAGCAAGTATGTGGCCAAATGGACAAATAGCTGACTTTGTTTCTTTGTCAGAAATTCTGAATGCGTATTGTGATCTCCTCGTTTTTCTATCTGCCTTCAGATCTGTCCTTCTCCGGCAGCTGTTTTCCTTCGGATAGTTTCAGATGTGGTTTAGAGAAGCCTGGGCTGCCAGCCCTGGGCATCGTTTGATCCCTTGTGGTGGGATTTCATTGTGTCAAAGAAACACTGCCACATGGGTTTGTTCCTGTGAGGTTTTCCTCCGTCTAACCAATCTCACTGGCTCCTCTCACAGACCCTTTCTTAAAATGGGAGGCAGTTCAGGCCCCTTTTAAATTGCAAATAGCACATGCCCTTCTAATCTGCTAAACGGGTCCTCCTTTGCTTTGGCTTACAGTGGGCAGGAGATCAAGAACGACTAAATGGTTGTACCATCACCTCTACTGAGGTTGCAGTGACAAAAAAGGGATGTTGTTGGGCCCTAGCATGGTTCTCTGTTGGGCCCTAGAATAAGTCTCTGACTTATTCTTTTTGCTTCATCCCTTCCAGCAGTGGAGCATCATGCCAACAGTGATCCTTGCATGAGGCTGTTTCTCTGCTGACATTAGTGGGAAGAGCTTGTCTGCCTCCCACTGCCATCCTTAGACGTTAGGCAGTGGCTTCCTAGTTTTCAAGAAGAAATTCAGTCTGTCCTTTGTGCAGCTTAACAGGCAGCGTGGGTAAACCTTTGATTTGGGAGGCTGTATTTGTGAAGATGCATTTTGGGTTCAGGACACAGGGCTACTTGGGCAGGTGCAAACCCGAGATCATTCTGCTCACGCCATGAGCAGACTGGACTCGGGTTTCTTTCTCCAGAAATGGTGTTGTGATGTCATCTCAGCAGTGTTTGAAATAGGCCCTGACTCTCATCTGTTGTAAATCCTGTCGTTGCACAGGGTTCAGCTGCAGGTTTCTTAAGTGATAGCTTCTGCAAAAAGTATATACTTTGTGTGATCCCCTCATTTTACTCTTTTCATTGAGGTTTCAGCATGGAAGAGGCAGATTTTAGTGCTATCCTGGGCGTACAGAACGGCAGAAAGACACCCAGTGTGATTTTCTGTAGCAGTTAGCATTCAGCTCAGAAATCAGTAGCAGTTAGACACTTGGGATAATAATATTTCTCCAGCTACACGTAACTACATAGGCTTCTTGTATAAAGGATGTTATTTGGGCTTTGGGCATTTTTGGTGTTCTTTTTGAAGGAAAATTAAGTCCCTTGACCCACAGAAGGAAATAAATGCTATGAACAAAGAGGTTTGTACATAAAATAGTGTAAATAGGGCACGATTGCAGAACCCAAGGGAAAGGTTAGCAATCCACTAAGTGCTTGGAAATACTTCGTGAACCTGTTATGGAAATAACTGGCTGAGACCAGCAGTTTATAATTAGCCCGGTAGGTGTTGTGATTGGTTTGTAGATATCTGGACATTCTAAATGTTTTTATGCTGTCTGTGCTGACTGATCTCAGCTATTCATGTGTAACCCTACAGTCCTGTAGACAGAAGTGTGTGCAGCAGCTAAGGTAGGAATTGGACCAAGCTTTTTAAAAGTCAAACAGCTTTAAATTCTACCATAAAGGCTTTGTAGGCTAACTTCTCTGAGGGCACTGTACTAACTTGCTTGTCATTATTTGTTCAAGAGGAATGGAGTTTTCTGAATTTCTCAGTCTTTCTCCAACTTTATTGTCACCAAAGTGCTGACATTTCTGTCTCTCAGATTTACTTGCGCATATGATTCCAACAGAGCCTCCTCCCCCTGACATGCAAGACACAAAGAGTATTTTCCTGTTCCTAGATCTGTTAAGAGACATCAGTTAACACAGATGGATGAATCAGTTTTGAGTGTCCCAGGGTCACAGATAATTAATATTCATAGTCTTTTCAAAGCTTGAAGTTTGATGTCAGTCATGAAAACCACACAGCCACAATTGGTTTAGATTTTCAGATTTCTTGAACTGCATGTCTTTTGGTGCTGTGGGGGCTTATCATTTATGTGGAATCTACCCTTGATAAGTTTTTCTCTGTAGTAATTCTGCAAGACCTACCCAGGCACAGCTACATTAAGAAGCAGGGCTAGCTAAAAAATTCCCTCCAAATTATTTTACATTTTCTCTTCCTTAAGAGAATAGTGGTGAATTTGAGATAAATACAACAAAACACAGAGAGGTGAAGTTTTGTTCACACTGGCAGAATTGAGAAATACACTGCTGTTTTTCTTCTAGCCTGAAAGTTAACAGTTCTGCCCCTGTTAATGGCTTATTTCATGCCTTGCTCTTTGTACAAACATCATTGAGTCCAAAATGAGCACATCAAAGCACAGAGTAGTCGTCAAGTGTAAAAACAGACATAATAACTGGAAAATATTTCTCAGTTGTGGAGAAACTGAGATTTAACACCTTTCCTGCAAGCTTCCATTGAATAAGACTTTTTCCTTCAGTTAACGTATGTGCCCGCTGAACACAAAATACAAGATATCACAACTTTTCACATTTTCAAACCTTAAAAAATTATTTTAGAACCCCCTGTATCTGAAAGGACACAGTTATATCTCTCTAGACCTGAGAGGTTTGATGACACACGTATTTATCTGCATGCTACAGGAGGTACCTGAAGCTCATAGTCAGAAGAGCTGCTTTTACTCCATGCCAGTAACGAACCATTCTGTCTGATCTAGGGAACGTGTCTAGCTCTTTGCTTGGGTATTTGAAAACATCTTCTAAAATACTTCTTTTTACACTCCCACTGAAGGGTAGTTTGCCCTTCTCCAAAGAATATGGTTTAGCCCAGAAAGAATATTCTTGCCTTTGCTCTTGGTCAGGTATTTTGGGCAACTGAAACAGGGTGAGTCACTGAAGAATCCTTCTCAGGTTTTGCTCAGTGTGCTGGGAGACAGAGTAGTGGGAAATGCTAAATGTTTCTATCACAACCTCACGCGAAGTCAGAGGTGTATTATTCAGTAGAGCTCCGTAATGCTGAGTCCTTACATAATAATAAATGTACATCATAATAAATGGCTCCCAATAGCTTGCCACAGTAGCCTCTCACTTTTCTCCTTGCTAGCATTCCTGTGAAAGGTTTAAACTGAGTTTCAGTTCCCTTCAGCACTGAAGCACTGGGGGCCAGGATGCCCAATGTTAGAGGGTATACAAAGCTACTTTTCCACTCAGGTGAAAAAGGTTCTGTCTCCCATTTGTACGACTGAGGCTTGATTGTGTATGACTGAGGTCTGGGGAGACCTTATAGCACCTTCCAGTGCCTGAAGGGGCTACAAGGAAGCTGGGGGGGACTTTTTACAAGGGCCTGTAGTGACAGGACAAGGGGTAACGGGTTTAAATTGAAAGTGGGGAGGTTTAGATTAGATATCAGGAAGAAGTTCTTCCCAGAGAGGGTGGTGAAGCACTGGCACAGGTTGCCCAGAGAAGCTGTGGATGCCCCATCCCTGGAAGTGTCCAAGGCCAGGCTGGATGAGGCTTGGAGCAACCTGGTCTAGTGGAAGGTGTCCCTGCCCATGGCAGGGGGGTTGGAACTAGATGGGCTTTAAGGTCCCTTCCAACCCAAACCATTCTATGATTCATTCTATGATTGAATACTGTTCTCCTTTTCACCAAATACAAGTAAATAATAAAAGGTTGGATGGGTAAATCAACCCTGAGAGAAATGTGTTTCCTCCACACTCTCAAATCCTTGTGTGGGTCACTGGTTACTCTCCCTGTCTTCTCCAGGGTGCGTTTTCAAGAGATCTAGAAAATTGCTGCTGTCTTTTCATGGCATCTCATTCACTCTATATTGTAACAAACTGATTTGTCTAATCATGATACACTGTGGTTTTCCTCAGGTCTGTATTGTGTCCATCATTACCCATAGTATTTCCCTACTCACCTCTTGCTAAGCAAAATGGTAAACCGGATGTTTGTTCCTGTGATTATTTCTGTATCATTTTCACCAAACCTGGGTGTATTATCTCTGTGCTGTTTCATTGTTCATGTGGCTTCCAATTTCAGATGTTTATGATTTGGCTGTCATTGTAACATCGCGTAAGAAGTTCTACTTAAAGTAATTCTTGATGTTTTCTCAAGAATTTTTCCCTCTCTGCTGTGAGTACTTAATCTGACAGTGACAGCAAAAGTACCGTTGCCTTTTCAGGTCACACAACACTGTTTACAGTCTGCTGCGAGGGGGAAATCCAGCCTCTCTTTTTCACATCCCCAGAGTTCCCCTTCACAGAAGTCCTGCCCCCAGGAATAATTCAGTGAGATACGGCACTGTACTCACGGTCAGTCCAGTGGTCATCTGCATCAGACTTCTTGTCCCCAGATCTTGGGTCTGCCTGGTCTTTTATCTGACTTGCCCCAGCAATCCTTTTCACTTCATTTTGAATTTTTAGCCCATTGCATGTTTGTAAATGTGGAAAACCACAGCCAGAAATGTGAAAAGGCGGCCAGTCTCTG